CCAAGGGTCTATAGAAATGATGATAAAAGTTTAGCATTTATAGAGTGACTATAGAGTGCCAGGTACAATGCTAAGAGTTTCTATTATCTTATTAAAATCCTACCAATAATCCCATTAAAGAGATACTGTTATTATTCACATTTTGGAGAACAGTTTCAGAGATGCTTACATATGGCTTATTCAAGGGTATTCAGCAGAGAGCCAATATTCCAACAAAGGTGTCTGAAAGCAAGGACATACTAAAAGAGTTTGGAGAAATGCATTAGGTTTTCTTCTTCATCTGACCCATTTCTGAAAGGCCTTGCTGAAGATCCAGGAGGAATAGTTACACAAAACATTCTCACCAGGCAAGGTGGCACATGCCTATAATCCCAGCAGCTCTGGAAGGTGAGGTAGGAGGACTGGGAGTTCAAAGCCAGCCTCAGCAAAAGCAAGGTGCTAAGCAACTCAGTGAGACCCTGTCTGTCTCTAAATAAAATACAAAATAGGCTGGGGATGTGGCTCAGTGGTGGAGTGCCCCTGAGTTCAATCCCCAGTCTCCCCACTACAAAAAATAATTCCCTTCTAATCCACACAACAAAATCACACTATCCCTTAAATGCTTAGTCTTTTTATTATCCATATTATAGTCTCTTAATCTTCCTAAGGATATCGGTCTCCTCCACCTTCTAAACATTAATAGCACATTTGATTGCCAACAGTAATTCAGAAAATCAGAAGATTCAAAGATCTTGTAACATATAAGGATAAAGACGGAAGCGCTTAGTAGTAGAGTACTTACCTAGTATGGGTGAGAACCTGAGTTCAATCCCTGGTAATGTCCAAGAAAAAGTTTCCTAGATGAGAATGGAAAAAGAAATGTTGTCAGGGCCACCACTGAGTTGAGGTAGGTTTAAAGGAAAGGAAAAGGCACTAGCATACCATCACTTCACTTGTTTCCCTTAAAACTAGCACACTTGAATCCCCATTATCTCCCCAAATCAATTATGGATTTTCACATTTGTGGATTTTCATCACTCCAGGAACCATAATAAAGGGCAGCTCACCATGTATTAGTCTAATCCTAGATTATATTTCAAGTAAATAATATTAGGGAAATATCAGAAATGGCATTAATGCCATAAACAAACCATTAATTCAGATCATGTAGTTCACATGGTGTCTTACTGGAAAACTAATTCCAGGTTGCTCGGTCTGGTTAATAAGAGGGTAAGAAAGGAAGAGGAATAAGGAAATGTTTCTTCTCTGATATTAGCTGAATGATCCATATTTCAAATAACTATAACAAAAGTCAGGATGCAACTGCCATGCCAAGGCAAATAGTAGTTTTTAAAAAAAGATCAAAAACTAGCAACCTGTGGTCACATGTGACCTAAAAGCATATTGTATATGTCCAAGTAGTCATTAAATGCAGGTGAGTTCACATTTTAAAAACACAGTCATGCAATCTAGTAGTAATTCAGGAGGCTAAGACAAAAGGATTCCAAGAAGATCCAGGAGGAATAGTTACACAAAACATTCTCACCGGGCAAGGTGGCACATGCCTATAATCCCAGCAGCTCTGGAAGCTGAGGCAGGAGGACTGGGAGTTCAAAGCCAGCCTCAGCAAGGTGCTAAGCAACTCAGTGAGACCCTGTCTGTCTCTAAATAAAATACAAAATAGGCTGGGGACAACTTAGCAAAATTCTAAGGAATTTAGCAAGACCCTGTCTCAAAATGAAATATTAAAAGGACTGGGAACATAGCTTAGTGGTAAATAATGTTCCTGGGTTCAATCCCCAGTATCCCCCTCACCAGAATGGTTGTTAGCATCTATTGAAACAGCAAACAACAAAGGCCATGCACCCATATAATAAAAAATGAGGAGACAATAGCTGCCCCAATTAATCAAGGCACATTCTTTACAGTTGACCAATGTCAATCACAAAGTTGGAGGGACAACAAGCAGTTGTTGTTCAGATTCACATAGGAGACCAGAAATCTTGGTTCTAGGCCTGATTTCTCCATTAAACTAGAATAACATTGAAGAAAAAAGTTACCTACACTGGGCCACAGTTTCTGTATTGGATAAAGAATAGGGTAGACACAAATCCCTCTCCTCCCACCTATCCTACCCTCCTAGGAAGTGCTAACAGGTATAGTCTCACATCATCAGTGAGAAAAAGGTTTACTCAACAAATAGGGGCAGCAGTTAGCTGTTTAGAAAAATAAAGCCACCTGAGTTATGAATTGCATAGTACATGCTTTTAAACTCCAGATAGGAAAGGATGTACATGGTAAAGATTCATGCTAAAAAAAAAAGAAAATATACACTTGAATGGTCTTAAGTTGTGTGAATTTAAAAGCAATGGAAGAAATTACATATGAAAACACTAGTAAACATTTTATTGAAGAAAGGAAAAATACAGGTAGAAATTTAAACAAATTTAAAAGGAAAATGCAAATTGAGGAAAACACAAGAAGAAGGGAAAGTGATGTATACCTCAACTTGAAAGCATGTGTCTCTCTCAGTCGTCCACAAAAGGGAAAGCAGAGGGTAAACTCCAGCCCGCTAACCAGAGGGGAAGAGGAGTAAATGAGTGGCCCTGAGACCACCTGAGGGCTCCATGCCCAATCAGAGGGTTGTTGCTCAAGGCCTAAGGAACCCTATTGCTTCCACTCTATAAATTAAACAACTCCACGGGGAAGGCAGAACAAGGCCCTTCCTCTCATTTTGTAGATGAGAAACACTGAGGCCCAGAGAAGCTAAGCAAGTCTGCAAAGTCTTAACAAGTGCTTAAGTGCTAAAACCAATCCTAGAACCCAGCTGGGGTTCTGCCTCAGCACAGTCACCTGAAATGAGGAAGCTGGATGAGATCCCTGGTTCCCCAAGTGCAGTGCTCACAAGAGCAGCCCCAGCCTCCCAGGGGAACTTGACAGAAATGAAATTCTCAGTCCCTGCCCAGACCCAGGGAAGCCTGACCTCTGGCATGGGACCCAGCCATCTGTTGTGACAAGCCCTCCTGCTGCTTCTTTCCACATGCAAGTGTGGAGAGTGACAGATTCCATGACTGCTAATGGCCCTTCCAGACCTCACACATGTACATGTAACTGTAAGCATTCATCTCCAGGGCATTTTGTGCAAAACCACAAGGTCTCCTTGACCTAGAACTAAAAGGTAAAGAATAAATCAAATAAAAACTGGAGTTTGCATTAACAGGAGGCAAAATACTCCCTTCTCTCCCTTTGGCTGAATTTATGCCTATTGTGTCTGTTAAAGCTGCCTGTCTGCAGTCAGGTGCATATTGTACTCTACATGAGGCTTTCTTCCTTGGCTCTGTGTGAAGAGAGGAGCAATGAGCTCCCCTCCAAAAAGCAATCTGGAGAAAATAGTCATAGAGTATGAAGATGACAGGACCTTCTTTCCAATCTTGAGATACGAGAAAAAGAAAAATTTACATGCTCTCATTAATGATACTTAATGGTATTATGTTTCTAAAATGCAATATATGAAATATGTTGTTTTGTATTATCTTCAAAAACTAAGCTGGGCGCAGTGGCAAATGCCTGTAATCCCATTAGCTTGGGAGGCTGAAGCAGGAGGATCAGGAGTTCAAAGCCAGCCTCTGCAAAAGCAAGGCACTAAGCAACTCAGTGAGACCCTGTCTCTAAATAAAATACAAAATAGGGCTGGGGATGTGGCTCAGTGGTTGAGTGCCCCTGAGTTCAATCCTCAGTACCAAAATATAATAATAATATTAGTGTTTCAAAACACTTTTTATAGAATGAGAATAAAATTGATTTCTCCATAATTTCAGAATTACTTACAATTGAAATCGTAAGTAGGTCTTGATATCAATAAGAAGTCTTGGTCTGTTACCTCAGAAACATCCTGGAAATCCTGCCCATTTGATGTCTGTCATACTTAGCTCTTAAGAGATGACCTGGTCTTTTTTTTTTTAAGTCTCTTTTATTTTTCATTCTCTGGAGGCATGAAGTGAATTTGGCAGGATTCATTAAGCCTCATCCAATACCTGTCGTTTACTACCTCATCAACACTCAGTTCTGAATGCATCTACTTCAACTTTGTCCATTATTTTCTAAATAGTTTTAACCATGTTAAACCACACAAAAATCTTATCAGTCTCAGAAAGTTTTAACTACTTTTTCTTTTAATTATTTTTAGTTGTAGATGGACACAATATATTTATTTTTATGTGGTGCTGAGGATAGAACACATGTGAGACAGGCACTCTACCACTGGGCCACAGCCACAGCCCAGTTTTAACTACTTTTGAGGTCTGGATTATACAACATTTTTATGACTATCCCTACTTGCATGAGCCATTATGACCAGGTGGAAATCAGTGAACTACTTATTGTAAACATGCCTCAGGGTTACTTCCATGTTAAACAACTATACTTTTGTCAATAATCATCAAATCAAAAGGACAGGACTGGTGTGGACATAAAGGGTTTCCCTTTAGGCTAAGGCTTCAAAGAAAAGGTACGGGATGCTCAATAGTCCTAGAAACTAAGGCCCTTGATCATTCATTGGACATAGGGCATGTCAATCTTCTCTTTTCAGCAAATGAGCTTAGAGCTTGTCACGAGGGGCCGCAACCCTTTGTTGACATTTATGAACCCGCCTCATCACCTGCCGTTGGGAAGTTTTCATTCTTATTGGGGGATCTTCTGAGGCTCAGACTTGGTTGACAACTCCTGGGGCCTGGGATTGACCCCCTGCCCTTCGAGTAGTGAGGCCTCGTCAGGCACCACCCACAGACTGCTGTCTTCTCTGAAAGAGGCTTCTTTGCCCCCTCTTTCCCCTCCCCTCTGTGGCAGCCTGCTAGACAGCCACCATCTTTGCTGTCAAAGTTGCCCCACTCCGATCGCAGCTCAGTTGAGGTACCGATTGGTGTCATGTCTGCCACAGGGGATAGAAACCGTACCCGAGAGGGCCGAAACAGGCGGGTAAGCCCAATGGGAGAGTGAATGGGGCTGTTGGAGTGGGTGAAGGGATGGACCGCGACTTGGGCCCAGATGTGGGTGACATGGCACCTGAGGCCATCAAAGCCCAGGTGACTGGGCCTGGGGTGGTGGAGGTCCCAGAGCCCAAGGGAGGCCCCAAGGAGGAAGAGGGAGCCCAGGCTCCAATCCTACCCAGAGCCTGGGAGGGTGGGGATGCCGAGGAATACTTGGATGTTGGGCCAACAGAGGAGGAGGGAGGGGACCTGGCAGAGAGCCAGGATATCGTAGTGGACACCTGTCAGTTGCTCATGCTTGGCTTCTGGTGCATGTTCCTGGATCTGGATCATTCACTTCTGCACCACATCTACTACAATTACCATACCCTGCTCCAGTCCCTTCGCAGCCAAGTGAACCAGCGATCCCGATCCCGCTCAACTGTGTTAAGCAGCTCAAGTGAGCGCCAGGTGATGCAGATGCCCCAGAGACGAAGAACTAGGGCCATGACTCAGATGATCCAAGGCGAGAGCCAGGGCCTGGGCCTGGGCCCGGGTCTGGGTCTGAGCCTTGGTCTGAGCCTGGGCTTTAGCCTGGGATTGAGTCTGAGCCAGCTGGACACAGCCGCCTCTATCCCAGTGGCCCAGCACACAACACAAAGCAGCATAGCAATTCAGGATCCAGAACAGCAGGCAGAAGAGGTGGTGGAGAAAGAACCGGCAGAGGAGATCATAGCACAGATCACCGATGTGAGAGGTGAGGAAATGGTGGACCCACAGCTGCAGAGGCGCTAGCTGGTGCGGCAAAATGGGAAAGCACTGACCTTGGGTAGGGAAGTGGTGGGTCCTGACCTCCTCCAAATTAAGGCCGAATGTGCCAGGTTAGAAGCCCAATTCAAAGCAACCTTTGCAGTTTTGAAAAAAAAAAAATATGCTGTCCTTTACCAACCTGTATTTAATAAGAGTTGGGACTGTCAATGCGATTTGCCAGCAGACAGATGAATGTCAGGTGTTCAGGAGGGAGCTCGGGAGGAAATGGAAAGAACCCTGGAGGAAAAGAAATAGCAAAGGGTGCACTTCCTCTTTGGTTCACAGCTTTTGAAAGTGAAAAGGGTCTTAGAAAGTTGAGCCTAAAAATGATTTGGGAGCACTTGGTTAAAAAGACAGGTTCTGGGGTTAAGGAAACAATTGGCTTCACTGCAGAATTTGTCTTTGAGACAAACAAGTATTTTCCCAACAAAGTTCTGACCAAAACATTGAAAATGCAAACTGACCCAATCACTCTGACCCTTTCTTCCCTAAAGGAGAAGTAATCAGCAGCATTAGGAGGGAGATTTCCTGGGAAGAGGGGAACATGTCACTGTGAAAATGATTAAACAGAAGAAATATGAGGGCCATGGAAGGGTGATGTCAACCAGCAGGAAGGTGCCTGGCCATGTTTTCTTAGCTACTTCTTCTTGCTTCTCCTGAGGGGAGATGATTGGTGCTGCTGCTGGGTATGAATTGGGCTAGTTTTTCCATCTGATCTCACTGTTTGTATTATTCTTCACCAAAGAAATAACTAAATATGAGTATGAACACTGGAATGAAGACAATGAAGACTTTGTCATTAAGAAAGAGATGAAAACAGAGGAAGAAAATAAGAAGGAAAATGAAAAACAAGGAGGACTTGAATAGGAACCTGATCTGGTAGATAGCAACCCCAGAAAATTCAGGTATCTGTGTATAGCTTTGGGTATCACTCAAAAAATCCTGACATTTATCTGTTACTAACAGCTTTAAATTTTTAAAATTCTAGTAAATTAATTAAGTTTATTTAAAATTACATAAAAACTCAATTTAACTTACTAAGATTGTTACTAGAATAATCATGTAGCTAGTAATATAAAATATAGTACGTTCTGAAAAGTACTTCATGGCTATTCATCTGTTCTTGTAGGATCGTTTGTACTCTAGCTGTAAGACTACTATCAAGTGGTAAATATATCAGACTTAGTACCTGAGACCAATATCCATTAAGAAAATTTACCAGAAGCAGCAGCTAAAGTGGCTGGGCCAGGCACTAGTGGGGTCTTCATTACTTGGCCATTTAAATGGAGTTTCCTATACTAAATAGGATGCAACAGCTTACAGAATGTGACTACTAACAAATAGCAAAAGTTATGAATTTCAAGTAGGACCATATTTAATGGTTAATATCTAAATATGCATTTTGCTAGAATTTTTTTATATTTTATGTCAGTCAAAAGAAAAGAAACTTACAGTTCATAATTTATGACTGAGTTGATAATTAAGTCTTAAGGTATATGTCTTTCAGCATATTTAGATGCTCAACATTTTTCTCTTCTGTTTTTGCATTTTCATAGTTGTGTATTTTATAACAGCCTATTTCTCACAGGGTACATGTGGAAACCAAGGATCTGGGAGGGTAAAGGAATACCATTTGTGGTACCACTAGAGGTTTAAGAGATTTATTTAAATTCCAGAATGGCCACTCAAACAAAAACACTACAAAATGTGCGTGCACACACACATACAACACAATTTTTGATGTTAGGCACAAAGGAAACAAGGTTGGTATGATCACATGATTGAAGCCATCAGTTTGACAAACACTTTGATATCCAAGCATGCATACTTTAAGAGGAAAACGTGTTCTCTACTTGATATATAGCACACAAATGCAGAAAATATACATAGGAATGTTACACTTAGAAAATCATGGGTGCTGGTTAATGTTGTGTAACTGTTTATTTTCTGTCATTTCATCCTGCAGTTAGGAGGAATAAAAAGAAGATAGAAAAGAAGAAAGAATCTGTTGTTCACTGTTTTTAGGTTTTTCATTATTCAGAAGCCCGTAGAATTGTAACACTGATATTTTAATGTTCATCATCCTAAAAGTGATATTCTATGAAAAGTACCTTTTTCTTACCTGTTGCAGTTATATTTAATGATGCTTAATAAAGTTAAAAGAAGGGTTTGTTTGAAATCAATAAAGAGAAATACGGGCAGATTTTGTTTCCACAAACAATCCTGACTCAAATCTCTTTTATTTCTTCATTTTGGCCCCCTTACCCTATTGAAAGGTAAACCTGTTTAAACTTGTTTTACTTTGGCCAAAAACAAGTTTAAAATGAAGTTTAAAATAATTTTGGTAAAGAGAAAGATGGAGGACAAGCCTTTAGAGCTCTGTTGTCCATTAGTTTAGTCACTAGCCATCTGTAGCTACTAAACATGAAATTTTACTAATCTGATTTGATATTTGCAGTAGTTGTAAAAAATAGTGTAGCATATCTTATTAATAATTTTAATATTGATGACATGTTGAAATGATCATATATTTAATTAAAATACAGTTTTGAAACTTTGCCAGTTTATTTTCTAATGTGTCTACTAGAAGATTGAAAGTTCCATATGTGGATTTCATTATATGTCTACTAAACAATCCTGGTCTAGTGAATAGTTTTGAAGGAAATTTCATGAATGGCCCAGGTTGTCTGGAGGCCACATGGTGCTACTGAGCCTGAGCCCAGACTTTGACTTGGAGCAGTAGTTTTTAAAGTTTGTTCCCTAAATAGCATCATCATATTACCTAGGAATTCTTAAGCTCCACCTAGGATCTACTGATTCATAAACCCACAGAGTGAGGCCAGCCATCTGTGTTTTAAACAGCCCTCCAAGGGATTCTGATGCACAGTAATGTTTGAGAACCACAGGCTCATAACAACAGAGGAAGCATCTGAGACTCACCTAAACTAAGACCAGCCTTAATTCACTGTCTTGGAACTGTTGCAAGTAAACTGAATGGGATGGCATGGACTAGACTAAAAGGAGACACAGGGGCAAAGATTGGGTGATAGCAACAGAAAAATGCATAAGAGAAGAAGCTAGTTCCAGAAGGATGTAAACATGATATCATATATGTAAAGCCTAGGAAAACACAAATGATATATAGAGAGACTAAAAGGCATGCATGTGAGAGATGCATACAAATGTAGCATACAGAAAGGTGTGTTTTGAAAAGATAAACACATTTAAGATGGGAAAGGGAGGGATTTTTCTGTGGAGAATTCCATGGTAGATATCACCCCTATTGTAGTTTTACATTTTGTAAGCTGAGTGGTAGATACAGAGATATTAGTAGCATTTTCTATAATTTTATGTAGTTCTTAAATACTACCAAAGTAGTAGAAGGGGAGCAGCTCTTCCTACACTAGTGGGGCAGGACTTAAGGAAGTCCTAGAATTCTAAATCCTATAATGGCCTCATGTCATTGTAAAGGTACATTTGTCACAGAAGAAGATAAACCATAAGTAAAACATGTTATATGAGTTGATTTAAACTTGGATCTCCAAATGAATTCCTGTCCTCATGAAGCCAGATTTAAAGATAGGTAATCAGTGTAGCTAGGTAAATTGAATTAGGTCGGATCTAGAAGGCCAATTTGAGTGAGTTTGGGAAGTTGGAGACTGTCCCTTGAGGGATCTTATCAAGTACCTGTCCCTGCTCCAACCTGTTGCCAAGGTTACCTGTCTGTCCCAGGAATTGCCCCCCCCCTTACAGAGAGCTATAAGGTTGTTAATGTGTCCTTGTCTACTCCACCCTGCCCTTCCTCCTTCAGCCCATGTATTTCCCACCTTTCGGCCATCCCACCAAGCATTCCTGGGCCTACTCACATATGCAGGAAGGAGAAAGATAAGGGGGGAAAGGCAGAACAAAGGAATCCTAGGACATATAAAAAGGGCAGAACACCTAGCCTCTTGGGATACCAGGATACCAGCTATGGTCCCCTTCTCCCTCCCGGAAGAAGTCCATGTTGCCCCTTTTTAAATAAACCCTGCTTCATATGTTTGCCTCAGCGTGCCTCTCTAATGTTCAAACTTCAACATGTGGGAAAGCAGGACTTATCATGGATAACCAGCGGTATCACTAACCAAGTTAAATATCTGGCTGGCTAGGCTAAATATGTGATCTAATACTCTTTTTCTCTCCCTCACTACATGCTTCACCTTGTTGTCTGAGCACAGTGGCCCCATGCTTCCAAAAATATTGGGTTCTAGGAGTTCATCTTGCAATAAGACTTAGAACTAGTTCCTGAATGAGACTGAAGGACAACCACCAATAATTATGTCCCTTCTACTCACTGTCAGAGGGAGACAAGATAACCAGCCAAGCCAGAAGCTATTTGAATTTGAAAGTGACAAGTTGTTTTTTTTTTTCTTTTTGGTCTCAAAGAAGTTCTATACAATTTATATTTTAAATGTAAGCCTAGGAGAGAGAGATCTAGCAAAAGCTAAGAAAACAATAGAGATGCCTTTTTTGGATCCTAGCTGTCCCATATTTTAGACCCAGCTATAAAGTCATATTCCTCACCTTCCTTTGACTGCTACATAGCCTCAGGAGCATTCCCCCATCTGATCAATGAAGAGAAGTTCCCCTGTGTCCAGTCCCTGATTGGGCCCTGTTCAGATGCCAACTGTCAAAGCCTCACCCTTCTTTGACTGCCATAGCCGTTAATTTAGGAACCGGATGTGGGGTGATGAGGGGATGAAGAAAAGACAAAGAAAATAAAAGGTGGTGCTAGGTGATTCAGCTAAGCCCTGGTGAGGCTTGACTGGCACCAGAGCTAGCTCAGCACATTTGTTTAATAGATTTTAGGTTGTGGCTCAGCGGTAGAGTGCTCATCTAGCACGAGGCACTAGGTTCGATCCTCAGCACCACATAAAAATAAATAAAGGCATTGTGTCCAACTACAACTAAAAAAAATATTTTTTTAAAAAAAGTTTATTTGTGGG